GTAAACGTTTCCCATCGTCGGGCCGATCTAAGCGCATCGCGCCCAAATAAATGGCCAATACAAGCGAACATGCCAGTCTCAGCAAGTAATTGAGAAGAAGACGAGTCGATCGCTGGGACAAAACTTTTATTCGCCTCAGACTACGGATCTCAAAACGTCAGGCGAATAAAAGTATTGTCCCAGCAACCGAGTCGTCTTCTTCTAAATTACTTCCTGGGACTCGCATGTTCAGTTGTATTGGCGAAGTAGTTGTTGTCTATACAAATTGTTTAAACAGCAAAAAAGAGGACCAGAGTTTTAAGCAAAATTATAAAGGACGGATAGCGGTGTTACAAATATTATCACCTGCCAAAACATGGTCATATGGATACCCATAATACAGACGATCCTGCAATAACTTTTCGGGAGGTTAGGATTAGGGTTAAGGTGAAGTTGAGGGTAAGATTTAAGGTTAAGATATATGAATATGTACCTGGCCCTGGAAGGTGGCCTAAGACCACCTACAGTATCGGGGGAGGGTTCCTGTTCCCTTGTCTTCACCACCATGCTCTAAATTATTCATTTTTAATCTATAGAGATCACTCCCAACGATACACTTCGGTAAGTAAGAGATCCACCGGGTTAAGTTGCAAATGCTTGAACATAGTAATTTCTAGTAAAGGGTAACATTATAAGGAAAGGTTTTGCATGAGATTTTAAGTCATTGACTCTACCGCAGGGCGTGATGGTGAGCTGAAATAATGTTTTTTAAGACTGGTCCCAAAGCATACTTTTAGCTGCAAACTCTATTTAAAGCGCTAAGCATTCGACGGCTTTGGTGACGCTTGCGGATATTTGAAAGCATTGTTAACAACATACCAACAGTTAAGTAAAGCAATGCCAGTATAATAAAACTAAGTTCCTGCAGAAATAAGAAGCTAAGTGCGACAATTTGTAGCATTTCTGAGCCCACATCAACATCTATTCAGCAGTACAAAAAAGGTTATTGGCTCTAACTAGGGCGACTTCAACTTTGTTTCAATGCGCTTAATGAACGTGAAGTGGACAACCACAGTTCGTACCCACCAATAAAGTTCGCAGCGTATGCCACTAGAAGCGAATAGACGAGTTTCAGGAATCACTTTTGCAGTTGTGGACAAAGCAACTACGTCGGCGAAACCGGGAGATTAATTCGGACGCGAATGGCCGAGCACGCAGCCGTGTTGAGGAGGAAAGACGCTAACTCCCAGGTTGCAGCTCACTCGACGGGACCCAGCTATATTTTCAAGCTTAACGAGGCCGAAATCCTCGGAAGAGGTGAACACCGCGTGAGCTGCGAGCTGCTCCAGTCATGGCTGTCAGGCCCACAGTCAATTAACACGCGCAACGAATTGTCGTTCCCATACTCCCTATGGAGAAATTATCTGAGCAGAAGAATTAGTTAAGTTGGAAGGCCTGGCAACAAATCCGACCACAACGAACATAATTGTTGCATAACTATCAAGCCCGCATCCAACACGGACAACGAAATTACGGCCATTAATGACTCGGAAGCGGACTGCCAAGCATTCAACGCACCAGTTACGACCCCGGCGGTGATAACGGAAGCTGATAATTATAGTTCCCATGCGGGTGGCCACTACGAACTATAGATATTACGCAGTCTATACATATATCACCCTATGTGTACATGTATGCCAGTATTCCACGGCTACCTCTGACAAAGGGTTCTGGACAGAATCCAAAACGTCAGGCAAATAAACTTCTTGTTCCAGCGATCGCATCTTCTACCCCGCAGCGTCTGTTGAACTTTTCTACGGCGGACATTTAGGTCCAGTGGTTAGTCAGGAAGGCAATTAATAAAGCTTCTTTATGGATGAAACTGATGAAAAAATGTCTCTTATAAGTAATATAAAGTGTAAGATCCTAACCTTGCCTGGGTGGCGGACTAAAGACGAGCATCTTGTAGTTTTGATAGAAAGCCGAGCGAAGGATAGTCGCAGCGTATATGGAATCCTCAACACCATCCTCGTGCTCGTTTAGGAAATTTCTAAATGAAAAATGAGAGAAATTAGCAATTGCAATTCTCAGTCGATGCACGCATGCAAAGGTAATTGTAGCGTGGTACGCGCGAGGAGGTCATGAGCGTTCACCGGCTCAAGGCTGCTGTCCCGGACACTTCGCTGGACGAGCCCTCTGGTCTTCTGCCTCCTGTTTCCCCTCCTTCTCAACCCCCTATTCCACCGTTTCGCCTATTACTGCTTCCCTCCTGTCCGCAACCGCAACCTGTTACTGCACCCACCTTCAACCCTACTGTTACTTCCTCAAAAGCTATAACTCCTTCCGAATTAACCTCCAGCATTCCTTTTGCTACTCACTCTTGCCCTGCGCCTCCCGCTCACATTACCCGCAGTGGTCGCCATGTACACTTTCCTGACCACTTTGCTACTAATGTTTTAAGGCCTCAGTCCTGCCTTCGGCGTAAATTAACGCCGCCTTCGGTCTTGCCGGGGGGTACTGTAGGAGCCTGCTCCGCCAGCGCTGCCATGAGGACTCATCTACCTGCTCTGTCAACGTGTCAGTTAATCAGTTAATCGATTTTGCGCATCACTGATTACTGATTCACACTGGACTCGCCTCGTCAAATCAGTTAATCAATTAATCGATTTGGCGTACCG